GTGCCATCGCAAAATCCCCCGCTTTTATTATGCAAATTTTCATCTCCCCATTGCATGCCTGCCACAAATTGAAAACGCTTGCGATACGTCCAAATGAAACTGATGGTCCCTTTCGATTTGTCGGCAAATGTCGTTTGCATATATTTTGTGCGCGCCTAAAGTGGTAAAATTGTTAAATCCCATTTTCAAAAAACGTACGCTTGACACATTTTATTTTATGATTTTAACAATAACATTCTTTTTTGTCATTGAAATTTTTTTTTTATTTCACTACTTACAGTAAATATATAATTTTATAATTAAGAATTATTATTGAAAAATATGAAAATGATTTTAAAAAAATAATAGAAGAATTTTATTGTTAAATACAGTTGTCTGATCAAAAACGATTTTTACATACTGACACAAAAATTAATGTATTCTGTCTGACTATAAGGTTTTTCGACTAATTTTAAAATTTACAATCTAACGTTGTTTTGTCTGACAGAAAGTAGCTTTATCTACTGATACTAAAAATAAATTATAAAATGTTTTTTTTACAACTGGAACTAAAATTACAAAGTAACCTTGTTTTGTCTGACGGAAATTTATTTTTACTACTGATACAAAAGTTACTATTTTTAATTTGTTGTCTGGCAGAAAATGGTTTTTACTACTGACACAAAATTATTGTATTTGTGTCTGACTGTAATTGACTTTTACTACTAATACTAAAATTAAAGTCTAACATTGTTTTGTCTGGCAGAAAATGATTTTTACTACTTATACAAAAATAGGGAAATTCTGTTTGACTATAACTTTTTTTACTACTAGTACAAAAATCACAATCTACCCTCGTTTTGTCTGACAGAAATTTACTTTACTACTGATACAAAAGCTGCAATTTAAAATTTGTTGTCTGTCAGAAAATGGGTTTTTACTACTGATATAAAAGTACTGAATGGTTGTGTGACTATAAATTAATTTTACTACTTTTACCAAAAGTACAGTATGACATTTTTTGTCTGGCAAAAATTGACTTTTACTACTTATACAAAAATTACAAAACTTCTGTCTGACTATAACTTTCTTTTACTACTAGTAAAAAATCTTGCATTGTTTTGTCTGACAAAAATTGACTTTTACTACTAATACAAAAGCTGCAATTTAAAATTTGTTGTCTGGCAGAAAATAGGTTTTTACTACTAATACAAAATTATTGAATTTCTGTCTCACTGTAACTAACTTTTACTACTAATAAAAAAAATTACTAATATTGTTTTGCCTAACAGCAATTGACTTTTACTACTGTTACTAATGTTAAAATTTCAAATTTTTTGTCAGTCAGAAAATGGTTTTTACCCCAGTTTCTAAAGTAATGAAAATTTTAAATATTTCCTCCGGGTAAAACTAATACAAAATTTCTAAAAATTATGAAAAAAATATATTTTAAATTGAATAAGTGTCAATTATTAATTAAATCCTCCATTTTGAAAGTAGTAATTTTTTGTGGAAATAATTTTAATTGAAAAATAAATAAAACAAATATTAATCTTTTAGATAAACGTTTTTTCGATTTAAACAGTGATTTTTGTATTTTATTTTTAAATTGTACGAATATTTCTCTCGACTACAATTTTGAAAGTAAGAAATTAAACGGTGTAATCGGTAATCATCCAAAAGTGCAAGATTTAAGATGCTTGAATTTGTGGTTGAACCGTCGAATATATGGTGCAACGAAATTGGATCGAAATTGCTTGATAGCACGATATTGTGGTGTATTCGATACAACTCAAGAGTGTAACGAAGTGGTCGGACGTGATAAAATGACCATCTTATGTTATATATATATATATATATATATATAAATTTCATAATGGAAATTACAATCGAATTTCTACCCGGAAATCCAGACATTTTTTTAATTACACAATAACACAATTATAATTATACAAAAAAAAATTTCGTTAATTAAAAAACGAATTTTTTAATTAATAATAAAATAACCGAATTTCAATTAAAAAGGAAACAATTTTCAATATTCGGACACATAATTGAAAATGTGATATTTAAAAATTGTTTCGTTAAAAAAAAAAATAAATATTCATAAAATGTATGGGAGAGAAATAAAAATAATTTTTTTTATGATGTGTGTAAAAGTGGTTAGTTGAAAGTACACACACACATACACACACACACACACTTGCACCAGTAGAAATACAAGTGAAGAAAAATAAAGACTGGTAGACACAGTAACGAAAGAAAACAAATTGTCGTCGTAAATGACGTGCGCGACATTGGGGTTTTGTTTTATTGCACTTCCTGAAATTCGAGATGTTTGTGCGCACCTGCAATTTGTACACGGTCATTGCACCAATCGTTGTTTTACGAATAATTGATAATTGGATGTCAATTAAAGCAATTTTCTCTCTTGAAATATATAAAATTTCAAATTGCAAAAAAAAAACACTGCTTTAATTAAAGAAATTTTCTTTAAATATCTAAAAAATATTTCAAAATAAATACACATAAAAATCACTAAAAACTGTTGAATTTTTATATTTACGATTCATTAAAATATTCCAAATTCATTTAAAAAAACAACACTTCATTAAAATAGTTACAATTCGTTAAAATATTTACAATTCATTAAAATTATTTGTCCCTGAAAGTTTCAAATTGCTTTGAATTTAAAAAGTCTGGATAAGAAATGTGAAAAAAAGTCTTTTTCAAACTTAACAAGGAATTACATTGAAAAGAGTTTTTTTTTTAAAAAAAATCAAAGTCATACTATATCTTCGTTAGTTTAAAAGCTTCATTAAGATAATTCACAATTGTTGAAAAATTGTAGTTCCGACTCTTTTTTTTCATAATTTAATTATCTTAACTTTGCTACTGAGTAGGTTTCTTCATCCGCAAGAGGAGTATATATACATATATATATATAGTTATACTTCGCTTCTTATATCGTTTAATCAAAAACTTTTCCTAACATCATGGTAAATATTGCGCGCTTGAAAGTATAGGAGTGTGTGCGCGCGCGAGTTATCAGAAGTTAGCAGAGAGGGTAAAAAAAAAGAAATGTCTTCCACATCGTGCGGTTCAGTTTATCAACTATTTTTCTTTAGGAGAGATGGAAAAAAGAAGCAAACGCGCATAAGAAGAAGAAATGGGTGAAAAGAAAAAGCTCAAGTTGACTTAAAATGAGAGAAAAATAAAAAACTTCAGAATTGTCGTATATTCATTAAATACGTAAATTTTGTGTTCATTTTGTGTCTGATTGAGAAAAATTACTTTTACTACTAAAACAAAAATTTTATTTAGATATTTCTGTCTGACTAAAGCCTACTTTTACTACTAAATTCAAAACGATTCTGTACTATAGCAACCGTTTCCATAGTAACCGCATCCATAGCAACTGTTGTCATAGCAACTGATACATTAACCAGTATCATATACTAACCGGTAACATATTAACCGATACCGTATAGTAACCGGTACCATAGTAACCGCTACCATATAGTAACCGGTACCATAGAAATTAGTACCATACAGTAACCAGTACCATACAGTACCCAGTATCATACACCAACCGGTACCATAAAAACCGGTACCATAAAAACCGGTACCATATAGTAACCAGTACCATAGTAACCGGAACCATATAGTAACCGGTAACATAGTTAACGATACCAGAGTACCCGGTATCATAGTAACCCGTACCATATAGTAACCGGTACCATAGAAACCAGTACCATATAGTAACCAGTATCATATACTAACCGGTAACATAGTAACCAGTATCATATACTAACCGGTAACATAGTAACCGATACCATATAGTAACCGGTACCATAGAAACCAGTACCATACAGTAACCAGTATCATACACTAACCAGTACCATAAAAACCGGTAACATAAAAACCGGTACCATATAGTAATCAGTACCATAGTAACCGGAACCATATAGTAACCGGTAACATAGTTAACGATACCAGAGTACCCGGTACCATAGTAACCAGTACCATATAGTAACCGGTACCATAGAAACCAGTACCATACAGTAACCAGTACCATACAGTGACCAGTATCATACACTAACCGGTACCATAGAAACCAGTACCATACAGTAACCAGTATCATATACTAACCGGTACCATAGTAACCGGTAGCATATAGTAACCAGTACCTTATACTAACCGGTACCACAGTAGCCGATACCATATAGTAACCGGTACCACATAGTAACCGGCACCATAGTAACCGTTTCCATGACAACCGTTACCATGGCAACCGTTTCCATGTCAACAGTTTCTGTAGCCACCGTTTCCATGACAATCGTTACCATAGAAACCATTACCATGGTAATAAACGTTACCGTAGCAAAACAACGAAGTCCTGTCTGCTTCTCTCATATTTTTAGTTCTATTAGAAACTAAATTTTATTGTGAGGTTATGTTAATGGGTCGAACTCCTTAATAGATTAAATTTATAATGTTTTTAATTTGTGTTTTTATGAATCGCTGAACTTTAGTAGATTTTTCAGTTACATAAAATCAACAATTCAAAAAAAGCTAACCCCCTAGAATTTTTCCATTTAAGATAATTGTAACTTTCTTCTTTCTTTTTTTATTAAATCTGAAAATAAATTGCCAACTCAATTCAACCACAATAAAAATGTAATTTGAGTTGATAAAGTAAAATTGAGAGCGAGGATCATATCCTGGAGAATTTCTCAAATCATTCTCTCTCTCTCTCTCTGTCTCTTTTTCTCTCTCATATTTCTTGACTATTTGGAAAGTATCTCCCAGCACTGTGTGCAATTCATAATATCCACCCCAGGTTGCATTACACGAACGTAATACACGTTCAAGCGCGAGGGGAGGAAAAAGCGACAACATCTCTTTATTTTTATTGTGTAACACGCGCGTATCTTCGCCATCTACTGGATGCTGCGCAAGTTTGAAGGGGGACGTGTATTGAACAGCCCGAATGCGCGAGGCGGCGTGCGCCAGGATTTCACAATTCCCAGCAGCTTCGGGTCGCAGTACGCGCAAAAACCCTAATCCGAACGGGAAGGAGTTTTGCAATTCACCATCGATCATCAACGAAAAGCGTCCGCCGCTCACTAAAAACAAGGCACTGGGTTAAGCCGTCTTTTATTTTAAAAATGAAGCAAGACAAATTCTAAATCATCATCATCAAAAAAAAAAAAAAAAAGAAAGGCTTCTATATAAGAAAAAAAAAATCATGGATCATCCTGGACCATTACAAATCATATAAGGACATCATAAAGTTTTGTTCACATCAAAATCATCCTAAACACGCACATACTCACGCACAAATAACATCACAAACAAGATAGACAATCCGAAATGAGACCAAGAATCATTCTATTATTAAGTTTTCTCGTGTTATGTTCGTTGATAAATCGCTCGGAATCGAAACTTCAACAACAATCAATTGTCGATGAGGATGAGGATGAAGATGAAGACGATTGGGATGAGGATGAGGACGATGATGATGATGATGAAATATATAGATCTAAATCAGAGGTCGATGATGATGGGAGAATTTATAAGAATCCAAGAAATTCACCATCAGCCGAATGTCCCCGCGATGAAGAACAAGCCGAAATGCAAGGACAAAAATGTTTAAGAAAATGTTCAACCGATGAGGATTGTAAAAGTAAAAAGAAAAAATGTCGTTGCGATGGAATTTGTGGTATGTCTTGCATTAAACCTGATCGTGAATGTCCATTATTGGATGATGATATTAAACATGGTGCAATGAGAGTTACGGGAAGATTATTTCGTGATAAGGCATCGTATACATGTGACGCTGATTATTATTCAGTGGGTTTATTGGAAAGGACTTGTAGAGCTGATGGTCGTTGGAGTGGTAGTAAACCATCATGTAAAAATGATTCAAAAACATTTTGTCTTGAACCACCGAAAATTAAAAATACAAGACACAATGCATTAGTTGAACAAACATCATTTGATCTAAACAGTGTGGTTGAATATTTTTGCGATCATGGTTATCAAACTTCTGGTTTTCCTAAAGCCAAGTGCCTCATGATGGAAGGAGCTGCAAGTTGGTTTGGACCCGATATTGCATGTGAGCCAAAAACTTGTGAACCACTTGCAATTATTCCCAATGGATGGCACGCTGGTAAGAATCTACACGAGAAATTATATGCAAATATTTTGTTTCAATAAAAAGAAAAAAATTTATTTATTTACAAAAGATTTTTCTGTTATTTTTCTTTACCTTATCCCTTATTTATGTTTGTAAAATATTATTTTGTTATTCATACGTTTTTAAAAACAGTTTTGTAATTATTGTAATTTCGTTTGTAGTTCTAATTTTGATTTGTATTCGGATTTTTATCTGTAATCTGATTTTGATTGTAATACTATTTTATAAGTTGTCTTGCGATTGTAAATTTCTATTCTATTTTGCTATTTCTACAATTTATGTTATAATTAATTAATGTTAATGATTGTCTTATTTTGTAAGTTTCTTTAAAAAATTATCATTTAGTGTATATTCGATGTATTGTTATTAATTATTAATTATTTATTATTATTAATTACTAATTATTGACATTAATTATTGTTCGTTATTATTCTTTTTGTAGATCTATTCTAATATTTATAAGTTAATTAGAATAATAAATTTAATTATGTTAATTAATTCGAAATTAATATTAAAGAAAAAATTTATTATTCAATTATTTTTCAATATTATCTACATTTATGCTTATTAAAAAGTACTTTCACCAAAACGGAAAAAAGCAATTTTATATATCCATATATCTCCTTTGAACGAAAGATTTAGAATTTCCGTTAAAAAAAAAAAAAAGATTACATTACTTTATGTGAAACCTCTATTGATAAACTTTATTCCAGAGGTATAGGATATTTATAGTCGAATAACCGATATCTATATTGATTTTTATAAAAACAATACTTTTTGAAATTCTTAACAAAGTTAATTCATTAAAATTTTTTTCATTTTGATTTTTTTTTTTAAATCTGAAAAACCTCTTTTTTCTAATCGAGAAAGAATTTAAATTTCGGAAAAATTCAGAAAAAAAAGATAGAAAAACTAAAAAATGAAATTAAAAATAATTAAGTATTCGATTGAAGGACAAACAATAAAATTTTTTTTTGTTGTATATAAAAGAGAAAATAGAGACGAAAGCCAGAAAACTTGTTATAAAAAATAGACACAGCTTATCCTATCAATATATATATATATATATACCTAAATGAAAGAACGGTAAATTTTTACAATGTAAATTGAAATGATTTGCCTAATGACGATTACCATAAAACTTTCTATGAACTTTAAATCCCTATGGCTTATAAATTTTATGCATTTATAAAAGTTTTCTTTCATGAATATTAGTTTGCAAGTTTTATGAATTTATTGGCTTTAGTATTAGCTTATATATATATATTCTCAACACATAAAATTAATATCCGTAAAAAATGAATTTACAATTAGTTTTAAAAGTGAATTATATTACACATCTCTTTATTAAAAAGAGATTAATTTCACAAATATATTCTATATTATTGGAAATTGACATTTTTTTTTAATTAATAGAAGTTGTAAAATTATTTTATAATCATTTATGGAAATATTCAATTATTCGAGATTGTCATTATTTTTTTTTATCGTTATTATTCATTATATTGTTATAACATTATTGTTCATTAAAATTATTGTTTACCAACATTATTGTTCATTAACATTTATTATTTATTAACACATTCATTAATATTTATTATTTATTAACATTTATTTTTTAATAATTATTAGTTAATATTTATTATTTATTGATTCATTACTATCGTTGTATTATTAAATTTCCATTACAAAATTAGCAAACATTACATTATTAATATTTTTAGAAAAAGTGAATAATGATAATAATAATAATAATTAATTTGAAGTATAAAATATTACGTGAATAAAAAATTAATTATTTGCAAAAAAGTTAAAAGGATTAAAAATTTAATTTTAATTTTGAGGTGAATGCTTCACGTACGACTGTCGAATTTCCTATCACTGTGCCGACACATATCAATTGGTTGGTCGAGCCGAGAAAATCTGTTTGGCTGACGGTAGTTGGACACCTAAAGAATTACCCCAATGTGTTCAGGTCAGTTTAGAATTTTTTTACTGTTTCTTTAAAAACTTTTCTTCTTGTTTCTTTTCTCTATTTTCTTTAATTTTTGCAAATAGTTTAAACCCTTTTTTAGCATAATGAAAATTTGAATTAGGAATTTTTAGAAAATATTAAAAATTGATCAAATCGCATCAATAAGTCGATTTTTTTTTCATTGTGAAACAAAAATATAGGAGATTTTTTTTTTTTTTTTTGTTTAAATACAGGTAACACAAGTACAATGTCCACCACCAGAGAATCCACGTCATGGAAAGGCTATATTCACGTCAGTTGGTTACAATTCCGTAGTGTCTTATGAGTGTAAGCATGGCTATACCATAGTTGGAGCTGAGACAAGGCAATGTGGCGCCGACAGAAGATGGACAAAACAAACGCCAACATGCAAGGAGATCAACTGCGGATCACCGGGAACTCTTTACAGTGGTTGGATCGACAATGTCGAAGGAGGTATTTTCAAAAAGACACAAAAATTTATTCATCCGATTGTTTTTTTCTTTTCAAATCATCCTACCGGAAATTGACAACTGGCACAGTACTGGGGCTCAATTACGTAATTTTTTCCGGATTCCACTTTTCACATTCCGTATTCCGGATTTCACTTTTAAAATTCCGAAATCCGGATCCTATATTCCACATTCCGGATTCCACTTTCCATATTCCGGATTCTACTTTTAAAATTACGAAATCCGGATCCTATATTCCACATTCCGGATTCCACTTTCCATATTCCGGATTCTACTTTTACAATTCCGAAATCCGGATCCTATATTCCACATTCCGGATTCCACTTTCCATATTCCGGATTCTACTTTTAAAATTCCGAAATCCGGATCCTATATTCCACTTTCCATATTCCGGATTCTATTTTTAAAATTCCGAAATCCGGATCCTATATACCACTTTCCATATTCCAGATTCCACTTTTAAAATTCCGAAATCCGGATCCTATATTCCACATTCCGGATTCCACTTTCCATATTCCGGATTCTACTTTTAAAATTACGAAATCCGGATCCTATATTCCACATTCCGGATTTCACTTTCCATATTCCGGATTCTACTTTTACAATTCCGAAATCCGGATCCTATATTCCACACTCCGGATTCCACTTTCCATATTCCGGATTCTACTTTTAAAATTCCGAAATCCGGATCCTATATTCCACTTTCCATATTCCGGATTCTACTTTTAAAATTCCGAAATCCGGATCCTATATACCACTTTCCATATTCCAGATTCCACTTTTAAAATTCCGAAATCCGGATCCTATATTCCACATACCGGATTACACTTTCCATATGCCGGATTCTACTTTTAAAATTACGAAATCCGGATCCTATATTCCACACTCCGGATTCCACTTTCCATATTCCGGATTCTACTTTTAAAATTCCGAAATCCGGATCCTATATTCCACGTTCCATATTCCGGATTCCACTTTCAAAATGTGGGATATGGAATACGGAATGTGAAAAGTGGAATCCGGAATACAGAATGTGAAAAGTGGAGTGCAGAATGTGGAATCTGGAATGTGGGATCCGGAAAAAGTTACGCAATTGACACCCTGGTTTCAAAAAACGTAAATCTGTGAAATAAATAAAATTAACTTTGACAGGGATCGAACCTACAGCCTATGGAGTTAAAGCCTAACGCACTAACCACTAAGCTAAGACTAACCTTGTTTTCTTCAAGACTTTTATGAATCAAAATCGGTTACAACTTTGCCAGTTGTCAACTTCGGGAATCAATACTTTTTTTACAATAATTTTTTTTTTTTTTGCCCCTCTCCCAGGAACTGGATTGGGTGCAAGAGTGATATTTCGTTGTAACGAACACATGAGACTTGAGGGCAATGCATCGTCTGTTTGTCAACATGATGGAAAATGGCGAAATCCACTTCCGCAATGTTTGGTGCCGTGTGTTGTGCCACAAATTAGCAATGGCCATGTTATAGTGGCGAGTAAACATGATGATCACATTAATAATGTGACACTTGTCGAGCACGGTGAACGATTATTGGTCGTTTGTATTCAAGATTATGAATTTGCCGCCAATAGTACGCCAGTTGTTTGTAATAATGGAACATGGTCAATAGTGCCATCGTGTTCGCCAGCGCGTTGTAAACAAATGCCAAAAGCACCAAAAAATGGAATGGTCATTGCACCAAAGACTGATCATGGAATGAAAGCTGTTTTCAAATGTAAAGATGGATTTGAACTCGTTGGAGGTGGACCATTTAATCTTTCATTTTCAGTTGAATGTAGCTTTGGCAATTGGACTGGTGATATTCCATTTTGCGTTGAGGTCTACTGTCCATTTCCCGGATTTGTTAAAAATGGAAAAGTCCTTTTAGTTGGCAACATGGGAGTCTATGATTATAGGTAATTTCAATTTTTTTTCTGTTTTTTGGTTTTTTTTCTTCTTTCTTGAATAGAAAAAGCATTTTCTTTTTTGCAAACTGTTCACAGACCCTATGTGAAGAAAGTCATCAACAATAAGCAGATCATGTACGATTGTGACAAGGGTTATTATTTGAGTGAAGGTCCACCAGGAGCGACTTGCATAAGCGGAAATTGGAGTCCACGTGAACTTCCCATTTGCTCGTTGGGTCAACATCCAAGAATTCGATGGAATCGAAGACGAAGATCAGTTCACGATGAGGGTGGACGTAATCAAACTGTGGCGACTGCTTATAGAAAGTTTATTGATTTCTTTCGTAAAGTGGGTAAAAAACTTTTGCATCTTGAAATGAAGAAAAATACAACATCATTGAAAAATATTACAACAACAGAATTTACAAATACAACAACACTACCAACAATAATGAAAAATCGTACAAATCACAGTGGACGTTCACGTACAAGAGATGAGAAAATGATTGAATTTTTAAAGGCAATTTATCGTAAATTACAGAGAATTGATACAAAACATCCAGATCAAAATCATACAAATAATGTAACAATGCACGATTTATTGAATGTGATAAGTAAAAATTTTTTTCACGTTGATTTATCGCAATCGAAAAAAAATTCAACGGGCAAAAATCGCGATAGTTTTGAGGTTAGAAATCAACGAGAATTTACCAAGTTAAAGAGGGAATTTGAAAGAATTGTGAGATTTTATAATAAGACATTACGATGGTATGAGAAGCAATCGAGAAAGGAATCGAGAAAGAGGAATCAAACGCGAATTGAAAAAAGTAAAAAGAAAGATAAGAAGAAGCATAAAGTGACGAGCACGTATAAAGGCTTTTACGAGTTCATTAATGATTATGTGAACGAGAAATTGTCGATGTTGGAAACACAAAATGCAACTGAGGAGCTTATCAAAAAAATGAAAATCGATAAAATGACTGTTAGAAATGGTACTTCATTTACTGTCAGCGAAATTTATACTTTCTTCAAACATATCATAGAAAATAAACTTAATTCATCATCAGCATCATCATCATCATCATCAACAAAAATTAATGACGATATAACGACTGAAGCTACTATTCCATCAACATTATCAACGGAAAGAAGTACAATAATTTTATCAAATACCAGTGATTCATCATACAGTAATGAAATACCAACTGTCGAGACTAAAAGTGATTTTCCCAAACATCGTAGTCGACGTATTCGAAATATTTCCGATTGGACAATGTCATTAATGGCACCTGCAATAAGATCAGATGGACCACGAGGACTTTGGTGGCAAAGAATGCCAAGACGAAAGGATAATGATAATAATAATAATAATAATAATAATAATAATAATCGTGAAAAGAGATTTATTCCATTGTTCATTGAGCAACTTGATAATCAAAGAAAAACAATCAGAAAATTTGAGGCAGTTCGAAATATTGTAAAGCGTTCCAATTTACCGTCAAACAATTTAATCAAGATACACGTCATCGACAAATCTAAAACGGGGACGAAAAATAAATGATGTTATTGTGATATTATGGAATTTATTATTATTAATAATCGATACCAGCCAATTTTAGGTAATTATACACATTAATACGATAGTTCATCAGTTTTCCTCTCGTCCATTAAAAAAAAAAAATAACCTTAATATGTACGACACTTTTTGACGAAAATAAAATCTTTTCCATGCAATTCATTTTTTTTTTCTATATCTTCCTTCTTTGAATAAATTTTTTTTTTCAAAAATATATTTTTAAAAATTCATCGAATTTCTATGAAAATTATTTTTTTTTTTCCCTCTGAGATAGTATTTTCCGAATTGCAAATATTATGATTATTTTGATTTTATTGATAAGATCAACATTTGTAATTAAAAGAATTTAGTTTTTTGGTTTAATAAAATTTTTTATAAATTCAAATCCTATATTAGAGATTTTAGTATTTGTGTATAATTAGAAGAAAGAGAGAGAGAGAGAGAAATAGAGGGAAGATTTAAGAGAAAGCGGTTCTTGTAATCTTGTAAATTTATTAAAGCAAACGTCATTAGTGGTAAAGCGTCGTAACATAATCAAAGAGTATCTGTGAAGCTCTTAGCACTTGTAAAGGAGGCAAAGGAAAATCAGAGTGTACACGCACTACTAATTCGTTTGCTGGAGCAAATTACTCAAGCACATTATTCAGTTGCTCTCTCTCTCTCTCTCTCTCTCTCTCACACGTCTCAGTCATGATTACACGAACTTGCGCGCTAATCACTCTAAACATTGAACCCAGTAAGTGATAATTTGGTTACTCCTGTCCAGATCTGGTTTCAAATATTTAGCATCTCACGTCTAACGCATTTTGTCTTCTCCCGTAAATAGATCTCATTTTTTTTTTTTTTTTTTTTTTTCCAACAAAAATAAACTAGCGGAACTTGTAATTTAGACTCGATTTTATATTCATTATTTTAAACTGCAAAAAAATTACTTCTACTTTACGAATATGTATTTTTAAATACTTCTAGATCCTTTTTTTTTATTTAATTTTTCATTCCTGTATTAATATTTAATTTCTGTAGTAATATTCAATTTTTTTCCATTTGGGATTGCTGATTACGAATCCGGTGTTAGTTTTCAAAAATTCAAAATGGCGGATCCAAAATGGCGGTCGACTTTTTTTAAAAATTAATTAAATTTGCTCAAAACTTATTACTTAGGGATTTTTGGGGTCGCTGATTATGAATCCGGTGTTAGTTTTCAAAAATTCAAAATGGCGGATACAATATGGCGGTCGACTTTTTTAAAAATTGACTTAATTTATTCAAAATTAATCACTCGAGGGTTTTTGGGGTCGCTGATTACAAATTTGGTGTTAGTTTTCAAAAATTCAAAATGGCGGATCCAATATGGCAGTCGACTTTTTTTAAAATTAATTAAATTTGCTCATAACTCACTACTTAGGGATTTTTGGGGTCGCTGATTACGAATTCGGTTAGTTTTCAAAAATTCAAAATGGCGGATGCAATATGGCGGTCGACTTTTTTAAAAATTGACTTAATTTACTCAAAATTAATCACTCGAGGGTTTTTGGGGTCGCTGATTACAAATTTGACGTTAGTTTTCAAAAATTCAAAATGGCAGATCCAAAATGGCGGTTGCCTTTTTTAAAAATTGAATAAATTTGTTCAAAACTTATCACTTGGAGGTTTTTGGGGTCGCTGATTACGAATCTGGTGTTAGTGTTCAAAAATATATATATATTTTTTTTTTGAACTAATAGAATAGTATTTTATTTTTTTAACAATTGTTATAAACAATTGAAGTAAAGAAATGCAAAAAAATTCGTATAAGAACTTAAAATATTTATTTTTCCTTAAATTATTTAATTTTATTATGATGTATTAATTATTTCGAAGTGATATTTTAAAACAAATAATTTTATTTTATTTGTAAACGTTTAATCTGTCCGCCATATTGGATCTGCCATTTTGAATTTTTGAAAACAGTAATTACTGGTTTAAATACAGTTTATTTAGTTCAATTATTTGGTTTCAAAAATTACTTGTTTCAAATAAATATTTATTTGACAATAATTAACCGATTATTTGAATTAAATAAATTTTTTGGCACTGTATATAAAATAAATTCTATAATATTTTTATGAAAAAAGAATAAAGTCGAAAAATTCAAGTGCCAGGTGGTTAGTCTAGAATAATCCGACACTGTCAATGACTCTTTTTCTCTCATTGACAAAATAATATTCTGTCGAGTTCATTGAATCATGAATATATATATATATATATATATATATATATATATATATATATATATACATAGTGACGAGGGAGAGTCTGGTCACAGACGATGATAATCTTATTGAGGCAGTACCGAGAGAAGTTAAGCGGTGCGGGCTTCCTGCCAATTCAGGAGGCAAAGTGTCGGTCAATGGCGAGCTCAAAATTGACTAAAATCCGTTTCTCAATGAGTCTCTAGATTTTATTTCTCTTTTTTTGTCCTAGAGAGAAAGAAAGAGGTAAAGAGAGAGAGTAGTAGTAGTAGTCTCTAGAGTGCAAAAATCCTGGGCGTGCCAAAGATGTTCGTGGCGTGCGCCATTGTCACCAGAAATTTTCTTGAATGAATAATCTTTACAACTCCTTTTCGGAAGCTCTCTGTGTGTGAATCACAATACCCTTTTGCCATAAAATGTACTCAAAAAATTCCAAGAAATTGAAAAAAGGTACTTGTCGTGTTTAAATCGATAGAGTTTATGGATTAACCAAGTTCAAATTGAAAAAATTGGACACATTGCGGTTTTCAGAAATGAAATACTGGTTTTTTTGCACACCATTTTTTTTTTTTATTTTCTCAAAGATAGCTTGAGGCAACAATGTACAATTTACTAAAACATTTTATTGCAATTTTCTTCAGCAATTTTGAAATACACTTTTCGTAATCTATTTCAGAGAATAGGTTTCAAAAAAAGAAAACGTTGACCACAAATACGGCAACACTGATGATTCCTAATACCAATGAATGAATCAACGAACACCACAAAGTTCTGGGTATTAATAACAATTTCTCAGATTTCGATACTTTTGCAGCTTATTCTCTCTCTTTTTGTATTTTTGCAAGTTTCCTGGTAAAACTTGTCGGCAGTGTCAATAATGAGCACAAATGTAACAAAATTAAAAACTAAACCACAGACTGTGACACCTTTGGATTACAAAAATTACTAGAAGAAGAGGAAGAAAAAAAAATTGAACACCAAGCATTGATAGGACCAGATGGTCAATATTCTCATTTTACGCGGAAGGATTAAGCAAGGACCCTCTAGGTGGTCCACTGTGGACCCTTAAGGCTACTCTCTTGCATTGCAAGCATCCGTTTTCCACCGCTCTGTAATCAGTGAAGCTTTGTACCCATTAACACAACCGAGCGCCAAGCTAACTTTTCTCTCTCTCTTTCTCTCTTTCTCTCTTTCTTAAACGTCACGAATTTCAATAACTTTAAGCGTCTCCCTTCTCCAAGCCGCAAAAATTCACCAACATCCTCCTAATGGTCCTACCGCATTGCTAAATGTGCTTCATGGTTTTGTATATACGTAATGCTCCAAGCTCGCACCGCTTCTAAGGGGTTATAAAAATCTTTTAACAACTCGACCATTTTTCTGCTCACTGCTGTGAATTCGGAGGCCTGAACTTTCACCGAAAAAGTGGTTCCATTTGTTACAAAGAATCCAATCTTTTTCTCCTTTTTCTCCAAGAACTCAAATTTCACGCTTCTTCACTGAATTCACATAAAAACAACATAATAAAACTAAACATTAGTAGGGGGGGAATTTTAATTTTTTTTCTCCAATTTATGTCATTTATTTTGTCGTATATTTGAATTTTTTTTTTTAAATAAATAATAACAATTTATTAAATATTAAATGTAAATAATGTAATTATTTTGTTATCAAAGAAGATAATTCAGTGTTTGTATTCATGATGAAGTATTAGATTAAAAATCACTCAGTCAACGTGGTTGTGTGGTTAGGGTTCACGGCTCGCGTCCCAAGGGTCCTGGTTTCGATTCCCCATGCCTGAGAGATTTTTCAAAATTATTCTTCCGTTTTATAGTGTAGAAATTGCTCTAGTAGGGAAGGAAACGCCACATCTGATCAGGGCCAAATCAGGGCGACCAGAAATTGCCCTACCAGGGCCCTAGTAGGGAATGAAACGCCATACCTGATCAGGGCCAAATCAGGGCGACCAAAAATTGCCTTAACAGGGCCCTAGTAGGGAATGAAACGCCACATCTGATCAGGGCCAAATCAGGGCGACCAGAAATGGCCCTAGTAGGGATTGAAACGCCACACCTGATCAGGGCCAAATCAGGGCGACCAGAAATTGCCCTACCAGGGCCCTAGTAGGGAATGTAACGCCACACCTGATCAGGGCCAAATGTAGATTTCCTAATCAGGGCCACATCAGGCGCGCCTATTCCCTAATAGGACAGCCTTATCCGGCCCCAATCTTGGCCCTGGCAAAATTTCAACATGGGTCATTAATCTAATATAAAATAGGGAAATTTAAAGGAAAACTGACGCCGCGTTCCATTCCTTAATAGGGTAGACTGATTTGGCCCCGATCTTGGCCCTGGCAAAATTTCTAATGTAATAATCTAAAATAGGAAAATTCAAAGAAAAACTGACAAGGCTCTGATAAGTTAGTACCCCAATTAGGTAAAAATTTCAATTTCTCCACAGGGAAAAATTTCTAAAATATCAGTAAATAAAGTAGCACAACAAGAAAGCTGATCATCGTTGTGATTGTAAAATAAAAATAAAATTCTTCCCCCCCTCCTCCTAGCCCCTTCCGAAAAAATTGACATTCTCGTCAAATATGTTGGAAAAAAAGATCGTAAATTAAATCGGATTTCGTGCGTGACGGAGATTTATCGAAGACACACCAAATAAGGAGATTGCACCTTGCAAAGTTATGCGTTCGTGTCCTACAAAACGGGTAAATTTCGCGCCTCCTCGGGCCGTTTAAGGCGCGACACTGAGAGAGAAAGAGAGAGCCTTAACGATTATACGCTGGTTAATTTCAATAACGAATGGAATCCACAAGTACAGCAACTTTTAATGAATTTTCGAATGGCACGAGTTGTGTACATAAGCTTCCTCTGTCATGACGCCGCATATATATATATATATATACATCAATTTCG